CAAGAGGAAAATACAAGGGTAGCATGGGATGAATGTAGGCAAATGCATTTATTTAAGTAAGGTCTAGTTGAATTATATCTAGTGATGAAAATTGAGGTTGTTCATCATTTCATTTGATGCCATTTGATACAACTATATTTTCAATTTTTGTAGCCTTCAAAGAACGATTTCTCTGCGTTGATTTGGCCATTCAGGTTTGGCTATGATAATGAAGGGTGGTCTAATTTAGAGCAATCAGCCATTCTGCTGAATCAAACAGGTACTTCCAACAAAATTATGTTTGATTGTTTGTTTGTTTGATTGAACATTATGCCCCCTTGTCTTCCATAGCAGGCTCTTTTATTTGTCACAGAGGGAACAAGGGCTTCCTCTGCAAGGAAAACAAGAGCGAGTGGTGGACTGGCAGTCTTTGGCCAACAAAGAGCTCTTGGACAAGAACCAACTCTAGATCAAAAGTCAATCATCAGCTATCATCTACTGTTACAGGAACATAGGAAGCTGCCTTATGTCATCTCAGTCTGTTTGTATATCTAGTCCCCACTGTTTTCTAGTACTTTGACATAGAGCTTGAAAATATTAAATTTTGGAGTGAAGCTCCAGTGGCCATGCTGTCTGAGGATATGATTAGCAATGGCTCATCAGAGTCCCAGGTGGATATCATCTCCATTGCCTGAGCTACATCCCTTCCCTATTTCTGATGACATGGGAAGCAGGTATTCCATTCCACTTTTGATGGAGGAATGAATTTACACCTTCAGGAAGCTGAAGTGAAGTGATAGCTGTAATGTAGCAATAAATATCATGAGCTGAGAATTAATTGCTCCAATCCTTCCATCCAAATATCCTTGAAGAAATTGTTACTTTTTCGTCCCAGTTTCCTGGTTTTATACGTAAATAATATTAAATTATTACACAGAGTTTTCATAAGGATTGTTAGTGTCATAATGAGATTCCAGTGATACACTTCTGCTGGATCTCACTGCTTTTACCAGAAACAACAATCCTTCCCTCTCTTGCAGCTCCTCCATGCTCCCTAAACACCTGCTCTGAAAAGAGCTGGGCAATGCCCTGGAGCAAGTGCTTGATGCTATGGAAGACTGCAGTAGGAGCTGGAGGGAAAGAAGATTCTGGAAGTGTTGTGTTAAAAATAATGTTGTAGGAGTGTTGAAAAACAGTCCTTTAAAA